CCCATTTCTAACTTCCCACGGTAAACCAAAACTGATCTTTCCTAATTTACCCGCCGACGCGCTCATTCCCACTGTTTGTCAAAATTCTTCAGAAAGATATGTTATATGATTGAGGTAATAAAAAGGAAAAAGACGTAAATCCGTGAGGGCGTAACGCCAAAACTGGAAACTATGCCAGAAAAAAAAAGATAGATCCAGAGGTTCTCTTTTTAATTCAAACAGTCCAGAATGAGATGCAAATTTTCCAATGTTGTGACAATCTCTTGGTGTTGTAAGTCATTACTGATGCGCCGTTCTATTGTTCTAAGCACGTGGCATGAATTTGAAACAAACTGGACAAAACCGATCTCGCTACTTCCACGTTTTAAAGGAAAACCCCACGCATGCAAGCGCGTTAACGACAAAATTTGAACCATTGATAAGCAGGGGCATCTCGCAAGAGATCACTGCCGATATCACGGTAATTTCACTCGATTCTTGTGTTTTAATCAAAATCGTGTCTTGCGCCGACACTTGGCGCGCAAACCCCATTTAAAAACACACAAGCAAAACGACTATGGAGCCACGAAACGAACCAATTAGAAGGCCGTGCGGCGAACACGGGGCGGAGCATTGAGCGGGTTTTGCTTCCCATCATTGGTTCCTTTGTGTTAGCGTGAGGTGACGTGTCACGGCGTCACAGAGAAACCAACGCAAATTCAAGTTGGATGTAAATTAAAAATAGAAATTGCCACGATCAGTTTATGCTACTTCACTCGCTGATAACGTGTCGAGCGGAAAAGAGCTTGCACTCCTACTGACCGCGTTACGACTACTCCACACCTGTGGACACAACGAATCGAGTTCCGCACTCCCTGACTGGCTGGAACCACTGAATTCCATCCACTGTTCGTATAATAGAGACTTTTTTGTTTTTTTACTTCGCGCACGAGTAATTGAAGTGATGATGGTCTTCCATGGAAGCGAGCTCAACTCGCCAAGCCCGCCAGCACAAGTGCCCACTGTGGACGAACCCGAGGAAGAACCAAAGAAATCTCTTCAACATGTCAAGCGCCCCATGAACGCGTTTATGGTTTGGAGCCAGATCGAGCGTAGAAAAATGGCCGAGGAGCACCCTGACATGCATAACGCCGAGATCAGCAAACGTCTGGGAAAACGCTGGAAGCTGCTCTCGGAGGGTGAAAAGAGACCGTTTGTAGAGGAATCGGAGCGTCTTCGCATAAGACACATGCAAGCTTATCCCGATTACAAATACCGTCCGCGTAAGAAAAAGCAACCCAGTAAGAAGAATAGCAACGGTGCACCAGATAGTAAAAACTCGAATTCCGCGGAAGGGCACTCAAGGAAGAACGTCGCAGAAGCGGCGGGCACCAAGCGCGAAGCCCTTCCCGGCGCGCACGGATTTCCTGGCTTGAGTTCCTCCAAGAAACACGGCAGTTCCCTCGGCGAGCCTCCGTTCAAGAAGCAACGACGCGATTTCGTTTCGCCGATCACCCCACCACCGAATGTTCCCGATGCGATCGGCACCACACCAGAGGACCCTATTGATCAGCTTTCGTTGTATGACGACTTCGAGCAAGCGTTCAAACAAGATCAGCAAGTGCCTACGAGTGTAAATCACAACCAACAGATTCCCAACTCTTGGCCAAGCTTAGAATTTGGTAATGTGAACTTCAATGGCTTGCCTGTTTCCCCTTTGCTTGATCTGAACGGGGCAAATGGTGGCCAATTTGATTTTCCCGATCTTTATACCCCACCTGAGGTTTCTGAGCTTATTCAAGGTCAGTGGCTAGAGAACTCTCTCGGACATTTGTAGCTGATTGTCGTTTTCGCCGTGAAATGTTGTGCTGGTGGAAGGACACTACTTTTGACTTGTGGAATTTCCCCTTCTAGAGATTTTTATAAGCTTAAAAACATTCGCGGGGTTGTTGTTTGAACCCTTCGTTTTTTCTAACCGCTATGGACACGTTATCTGTGTATAGTTTTTTTTTTCGACCGAAGATTTATTTCGTTCATTTTGTATTGACTGGTGTATTCTCGTTTTAGAGAGCTTTTATTAAGATAATTGTACAAAAAAGGATCCTAAATAATTTAAAAGTTCTCCGAAGTGCTGTATTTTTACGAATTTCTCTTTTCCCTCGCCATGAAGCGTGTTTAAAAGTGAATCAAAATTGAAGAGGAGAAAATTATAATACTATTATTATGAAAATTTAAACTGTGTGTGTTTATTCTTCCAAAGCGCGCACGAGCCATGCACGGTGCAAATCAGAGACAGCCGTTTCAAAAAGGGATCGCCAAAGCCAAATAACTGTAATCGTTACTAAGACGTGAGCATTTCATTTTTACTTCACCTACATTAGAAATTCATGATTCCCGCAAAAGTTGCAACACCGTGTTTATATAGCTGCGCTGAACGCATCACTGCGCAAACTGAATTTTTTATAATCTTACTGCGGGTGATAGCTTCGGCGACTTGTATTGGAAGACAGGGCGTAAAGAAAAACAACACATCAGTATTGCAATAAGCTAACGCAGCCGTTGGCTTAGAAAGAATTCGGCGAGTGTTGTTCGAATTTAACCCGAGCGCGTCAGTTGTCATTTTGGGCGGGGTATGACGCCTGCATCTGTTTTCGCACCGCATATTTTAAACTAAGCTTTTCCTGTGTATTAAAATTAGAATAGTACACGATTAGCTGTTGAAAATCATCCGCCTTAAGGGAGACCACAGGGTAGGACCAACTGCGAAAGTTGCGCGCGCTTGATGTTCATTACAGATATTTGATCGCCTGAAGCAAAAGTCTGGTTTTTCCCTGCTGAAACGTGTCCACTTAACTGTGTTATAAATACTTTATGTGATCGCAGTGGAGCGTGGAATCTGGAAAAAAGATGGCAAATTTGACTTGAGAGATCCGCTAAAATTAACAGCTTGCTAAAATAAGGCACGATCGAAGTCAGTATTAAAGCGTCATACGCAAAAGTATTTAGATACAGCCGCCCACAGAAAAATAAATCAATGCTAACACGAGGTTCTGTTTACCTATTTTCAAAGCGTAAAAAATTATTCCTCGTGCGTATTTCCTCTGTCGGATATTAACGTATTGAACTGCTAATTTGTAGTCATCTACAGCAAAGAAAAAAAGATCTCGTGGGGCCGAAATTAGCGTGTGTTTACTGTGGACGCGATATTCCGCTTTTCAAATGTTGGCTTTCGTAAGAGCGTTCATACAGCAAGGCACGCGTCAGATAGTGCCTCTTTGTTCTTCGACCAATCAGAGGCGTGTTTCGACACAATCGTCAACCATACAAAACAATAGCTGGCGCGTGCGGTCAAAATTCCACCCGTCGATTGGTTGATCTTCGCTGATCGCACATGCCGATTGTAAATTGCAATGTCGCGGGGTTTTCCTGTTTACAAATGGGCCACTTTGTACGCTATCTGAAGTGAGCCTCCTATTATGAGCTCCGATTTGAACAATTTAGTTTTAAAACGCATTGGGACCTATGATCTAACCGGAAACCGGCTTGGCAAGGGAAACTTTGCCTACGTAGAGTTAGCAACGAACCGCATCACTAAAAGTAAGGTCTGTTATCCAACGGTTTGCCTTTTCAATTTCAAAGCCCTTTACAAGTGATTGTTCGGTGGCTTAATTACAGTTATTGTCAAGCACCATGGGTGTGGAGATGGGATATTATTCAAAAGATAAATTACTAAACGTGCGTTGTGTTATCATTCAGTATTATGTTGTTTTTTTTCCCCACTAGTTACCCAGCTTGTAATAAATCTAATCTCCTAGGTTGCCATGAAAGTCATAGATACACGGAAAATCAAAGACGATTACGTTAAGAGAAACATCCTCCGAGAAGCCCTACTCCTGAAGAAAGTCAACCATCCGAACATAGTTCGATTGTACGAGACTCTCAAACAGCACTCGATTTACTGCATCGTGACTGAGTATGTTTCCGGCGGCGAGTTGTTGACTTACTTACGAAGTCAGCCCGAGTCGAAATTGAGCGAATCACAAGCCAGACCGATTATGAGACAACTAATTTCGGCGCTGTATCACATGCACGAAAATGGAATCGTCCATCGGTAAGATGGGTAACCGAACTAGTACCAACTGAACATCAATTTTGAAAACAACACATGAGTAATAATGCTTTTATCATAATAAGCACGATCAACGTTGCTAGGATATTAAAAAACTAACGAAGAACGATTGAACAGTTCTTCAGCGGGAAGAAAAGAAACACTTAAGGGAGTAAAAAAAAAAAAAAAAGTGTCGCTTTGGGCCCACAGCACGTTTTTTCATTATCACCATCGTTATTAAAATTTTTCCATTTTTATTTTAATGATAATTTGTAGTCGAAGTCGCTTGGAGATCAAGGACAAGCGAGAAATATGTGTCTGTAAAAGAGTGTGAGAAGAAATCTCTTGTCCATCTGCTACGTACATTTCAATTTGGATTTAAAATTCAAAAAAGATATAAATTTAGCGGTCCTAAAACTTATAACCCGCTTTCTAGCGCGCGACGATTTTACTCGAATTTAAAATCAATCGCATAAATACTTTTTCAAAAACGGACAGTTTGAGGTAAAAACTAAATTTTCCTAAACGACGCGATTTCAATGGCTGTTTCCTTTGCTATTAACACTCGGAAAGAGTGCGGAATGGCTACATTTGTTCTGTGTCATGTCGCACTTCACGCTTTTGTTGTGTTATTTACTTCTGTCTGAAAACATTGTGGTAATTAATCACATAGTTCATGGCTGTTTCCGAGCGACTGAATAAATTAGCGTCTCTAGGATGTTTCGGTGGCGATAAATGTCGAAGGAAGCTTAGCTCTTCTGTCTTTTAGAGGCAATATCTGACTGATTCCAATCTTAATCCTTTCCTTTTTGGACAAAACATTTAACGATCGAAGCACCGGAAATTTCCCCATTTAACATTTGCAGGGACAACAAACGATTTGTGCGTTAAGTAAAACAATAACACTAAGAAGGCTTTTTCCTCTCCTATTTTAATGAAAATAAAAAAAACATTGGGGAGTTTCTACAAAATACAATAAGCGACGTGTTCAAAACAGAAGATTACGACTTCCGTAGATTCTAGACGAAAGCTTTTAAACCTTCCAGTTAGTTTTGAACATTATTTAGCCAGCTGCAAGCTGGGTTTATATGCTAATGATTGCAGAATACATTCAACTTTTAGAAACTTACAATTCCCTACTTCGTGTTATTTTGTATGAAGATGAATCATGAAACTAAAGAGTCTGTTAATTTCTAGATTGAAGAGACCATCTGCCTGTTCACCTCCAGCCGAGTCATAAATTATTGACGGCATATTTTCCAAGTGAAAAAAATATCACTTAATTTCCGTGCGCAACAAGTGTCTGGAGACATTGAGTTTCTTTAAAAGCAATATCCGCGATTCATTCGGTCTAAAACACCACATCTGAATAAACACTGTCATGAAGAAAGTAAAAAGGACCAATCTAAGTCGATCAACATATTCAAATGAGTAAAAATAATGGAATATCGTCTGAGATAAATTGTCACCCGAGACTAAAGAAAAAATGAATTTATTCATGTAATTAATTTTACCGCAAACAGCTTAAGTTTTTCAATGTTATCGACGAGAAAAATGCGCTAAAGAGCGACACTAGCAAGGAAAACTCTTCATTAGGCCAATAAAAAGAAGTACCGTATTCATTGAGTGATGGTGAAAGAAAAAAACCTTAAGTTTCAAAAATAACCTGTGTTTTGTACCAACATATTTTCAATAATTTACACGCAAACCGTGGTTTTATCATCAGTTGGTTTTTTAGGGACCACATCTGTCAATCATTTTCAATATCTCATTCATAGAGGAGACTCCTAGGTGTGTCATATCCAATACATCTGCCGTATCCTTCACCCTAAAACAAATACACAAAAATTTTACAGCTTTACCTCACTCCAACTGAGGAAGGTAACATTGAAAAAAATTTAATAATAACTTGTAAACAGATTCAACACGTCCAGGGGCATTTTTCTAAAGTACAAAAGCCATACACAATTGAAATCCAGTGAGAATTTGAAATTGTAGAGAACGGCAAAAAGGTATAAAGATAAGCACACAGCGAATTAAGAATACAGTTGACGATACTAGGACAAATTTACCTTTCTCGATTGAATCGAAAATCTGTTCTATGTAGGTGAATGCTTTGCCTTTTCTTCTTTCTTTTTTTGACTTACTTCTTCTCTAGCAAATCTTCAAAAATAAATGAAAACAAAGTCAACATTACCATATGAAAAACCGTTTACACTAAATTTAATTTGGGACCTCCAAGATCAGAAAGTGTGGATATGAAATTAATGACAAGACAGACAAAAGTGACAGTAAAGTAATAACATCTACAGAAATCCATTAATCAATTTTGTGAGGAAAAGATGGAGAATGCCTTTTATGAAATATTTATGTGTCTAATGATGATATCAAGCATTGAAATAAATTTTCATTGATGTCTGGAAGCTTGACTGCATAATATATTTTATTTCATGATTATATCATGATAACTACCCTTTCTGAATATTATCTTATTTTCTCGCCACTAAAAATTCCCATAACCTTTAGGTTAATCATAGCACTGGAAACTGATAGTATTATTAGCCTATGTTTTAAGAATTCAGGGTGAAGACGAAAAAAGTAGACACACAAGAGAATAAAAACATATGCTTTCCTCATGCCTCTGTTAGTTCATGCTGTCAAGGTTTTGATCAAAAACACCCTCACCCAACTAAACCAAATGCCTGTTACCCAACCAGAGCATCATTTACAATAACTGATTGTACATACAGTCTAAGACAATGCCCACAAAACTACTAAAAAAGTTTCTTTTCTTGCATTTGTTTTTTCCTAGGGACCTTAAAATGGAAAATATCCTTCTGGATGAAAGTAAAAAGAACATCAAAATAGTTGGTATGAAGATGAAATGCTTTCTTTAACCATTCACATCCTAACATCAGTAGGCATATTCTCCATACTATTCTCTAAAGTTTCCTGAGGTACTGATAGGGAGAATTTGTTCAACAATCAAAAGCTTCTTTCGTTGGTGATCATTTCCTTTATTGTAACCTTAACCCTTTAACCCCTAAGAGTGACTAGCATCTAATTTCTCCTTACAATATCACCACTGAATCACTCACTGATGTCATGAGAATAAAGGACCTGATCACCAGCTAAAGAGACTCTTGATTGTCAGACAAATTCTCCTTGTCAGCACCTTAGTGAATGTACAGAGAACAGTATGAAGAATATGAATACTGATATTATGGTGTAAAAGGGTTAATGCGTGATTCTGAGGTGATATTGTAGACTGAAGAAGTTAGGTGGAGTAAAAGTTAAACCTATTTTAGGTGGCACAATATTAAGTAGTCGCCCTGTAATAAGCGGTCGGTTAGCAAAAGTCCCAATGTTTTTTTTCACCCTTAATCACAGCAATTTTCACCTCTATTAAGTGGTTGAGTCACCTTTGAGTGAGTCCCGAAGACCTGTTTGTTTTTTTCTCCACCTAATCAACCCTTTAACTCCCAAGATCTGATTTTTAATTCTCCCCTCTACCTACTACACATTTCCTTGTAAGTAAGCTACAAGAATTTGATGTTAGATCATGGTAACAACTTCTACTTGATAAGTTTAAGTACTCTCATAACCTGTACAACAGATAACATATGGATATTTAGGGAGAAATTAGTTATAAATCCTTTCTGTGAGTTAAAGGGTTAAACGGCTACTTAAAGTAGAACCACTTAAATAAAGCAGAACCACTTAAATAAGGCTGAGAATGATATTTCAAGTAAATTTAATCCATGTTTCCCTCCCCAAAATGTTAGTGCTATTCTTGAGTGAGTTTTAGTACAATAAGTGGTCAATAACCACATAAAATGGTAGTTTTTTTTAAATTGGTTTTTTATATTACCCCTATTTTTTGGAACCTGCACTGTATTTAGTGGTCATTCCACCATTCCCTGTAAATGACCGCTTAATAAAGGTTTGATTGTAGATGGTAGTCACTCATGAAGAGACCAAGGGTTAAACAACTCCTCCTGATATTTATCACAAACAGTTTGATTAGAAACTTGGTCTTTTCATTGTCAATAGTTGCATGTATTAGGAATGGATTGTTGTACACACTAAGTACCCATTTCAGATTTGTATGTTTGACTGAAAAAAGGGAAAACTCTATGGGTGCTAAGTTACTGCTATTGATGATGTTAAGAGACATAAAAAGTTCCAGTCTCATGCAAATTGTAAACCACCATTAAAATCTCAGCATTTACAATTAAATAAATTCAAAAAACTATGAAAAAGTCATTTTTCCCCGCTCTACATTTCCTGCTGACAAAAATATACATTTTTAAAAGGGTTAAATTATGTAAAAATTTGATAACCATCCAAAGTAATTTTTCACACTTTTTGGGACAACTTGCCAAGAGTTTCCTACAAAGCAGGACACTATGCCTCAAAACTCTTGGCTTTGTGCTGAATTGGATGAGCGAGACCAACACAAATATGGATCAGACAACAAATACTGATGATGTGTTTGATTTTAACAAAATAAAAATAAGCTAAAGAAATAAACCCTTTTCTCTGACCTTTACTATTTCTGTCTGTAAATGTGCTTTTGTTTTCCTTGCAGACTTTGGCCTCAGTAACATCTGTGAAGGTGACAAACTCCTCAAAACACAATGTGGCTCCCCTGAGTATGCTGCACCAGAATTGTTCAGACGTGGCTGTCAATATGGGACAGAGGTTGATTTATGGAGTCTGTGAGTACAAAAATTTATAAGAGTAATTATTTTATCTTAAGTATGAAAAAAGCTCCATATTCAAGAAGAAGGGCATGGGGAAAGAAAAGAAATTAAATCACCACCACAGCACAAGGGGATACCAGAAAGAGTACTTGTCCTCAATTAAATTGGGAAAAAATAATTTATCTCAGTGATATTTCCCCTCACCTTTAATTCAACAAGACCCTTAATCAAGGGAAAGGGTCATATCATTTCTACACTGCACCCCCTCTCCATAAAATAAAAAAAATCATGAATGTTGCAAATTGTGCATGATGGTGAGGTGCTCTAAAGGGTGATTCTATATTGCTGTGATATTTGCTGTGAATTTGACCTTGATTAAAACAAGTTTGGTCCTGATCCTCTGAGTACGTTACATTCCTTAAAGGTCACCTAAATGATTTCCTATCTGAAAGGTTATCATTTCTCTGTTGCTCCCATTTCTTTTTTTTTTCACATCTAAGGGTAATTTGAAAATAATAGAATGTTTGTGTGGTAGACCATAACTTATTAGATATCACTCTAAGTGAGACACAGTTATCCTCCTCTGAAACTGAATTGTCATGATCATATTTAAGAGACAGTTTTTTAATTTAATTTGCAATTGGAATTTTTTTGCAAGAAGATGTACAAGAAAATTTTTAGAAAATAGTCTGGGCATTCAAATTGACGGCAGGAATTGTAGATTAATGATGACTTGAGCTAGTCCTCAGGGAAGGGGAAAGTCATCATTGTAAAGGTTTGAGTTTCATAGTGGGATGGAAGAAAGGATTTATCTTTACACCTCCGTTATTAGAGCTTCAATACGTTTTACATAAGAATGCTTTTCAGAGGTGTAAATTCATGACACCATCAAAATATTTAAACAAAAATGGAAACTGGGATCAAGCAGAGCCATTTTGACACCACTTGTACATCATTTCCAATCTTTGAACACCACCAGAGCTTCTGACTTTTTGTGACAAATGATGTCCCATTTGGTCTGTTATCATTTATCTAAAATTATCTAAATTTTTCCAGAGGCGTTGTTATGTATGGCATCATCGTTGGAAGGCTGCCATTCAGGTAAAAATGAATTTACCTCTTCTACGATTAGTGAGTTTGTGACTTGTGTGTTCATTAAGTAAACACTTGAGGTCAAAGTTAACATAACCCAGAGCTGGAAATAACAGCCGGTCATCAGACATTGTCCGACCAAATTTTGAATATGTTCAGCCAATTTCACATTATGATCAGACATGATATCTGAACATTTCATCAACACAATTTGCCTTCCCCAAAAGGTATTATCTATCCATGAAAGTTGCTTAGAGGGATTGTTTGAGCTATATTGAAAAGGTAACTTATAAAGCAGAGGTATTCCAAATATATCACCCTGTAATGCACTGTGTGCATCAAGATATGCAGTTAGCATTTTATATATGTACCCTCAAGTCCCGCAAAGTAATGCCCTGCACAATGGCAAAGGCTGGTCAAAAAATGACATTTAAGTTTAATGTTAACTAGTGGCCTGTTCAAATCATTTATGAAACAAGATTTCTATTGAAATTATAACTACATAATAATTTCAATAGTATTAATTGCCATTAATCAGATGCAAGATGAATGCGTAAGAAAAACAGAACAAATGCTTTTTTTCGATCAGTCACGTTGCAAATATTGGCAGCCACTTTGTATTCTTTCAAGATTACAGATCTTTTTTCATTTGTGAAGGCGAAGAAAAACCCAATGGATTTTATTAAGGTTTTTGCATGTTCGGTCAACTCTAAAGACGTTTGATGTAAAGCAAGGGTTGCCTGAGTAACAGATGACCAGCGAGGAATAAATTATAGTCTGCGGTAGCAACTCATAAAAGTGTTTTTAATAAAGCATAAACTTGTGCTGGACAAA